TCAAGAGGAATAGTCGTAACATGGCCGGTTTTGGAGACAAACGTGGCCACCATTTTTTTTGCAACACTCCGTGAACGAACAATTTTTGTTGGCTTTAACTCATTTTCGAACACCCAAACTCGTGACTGGTTTTTTGTTTCGGGTTCGTACGCGTATATCCAGGATTCGTCACCTGATACAATGTTGTATACAGCATTTGAGGATCCTGCGTGGAATCTTTCGAGAGTTCTGACGCACTAAGTAACGCGAGCCGCTTTTTGCTCTTCACAGAGCGAATGCGGTATCCATCGGGAAAACAACTTTTTTACACCTAATTGTTCATGCAAGATTATTTGTATTTGACTCATGTCAATGTCTAAAGCTGCCTGAATTTCGCGGTATGTCACATGTCGATCTTCCTCAATCAGCTTACGCACAGCATCAACGTTTTCTTGGGTGACTGCAGTTTTTGGACGACCTTGACGGGGATCATCACTGAGCTTGACACGTCCACGTTGAAACTCAGCAAACCAGCGATAAATTGTGGTTTTGGATGGGGCTTCATCACCAAATGCAGAAATCATCCGGTCAACACACTGTTTTTATGTTAAACCACTTCGAAAGTCATAATAAATCATCGCTCTTGAATTTTCTCGAGTCAATTCCATTTTCTCAACGACTAAACAAGTTTGACAAAACCTCGTGACAAGACCGAGAATCTTTTTTTAAATAAATAAATGGTATTCGATTTTTAAAACCAAGGAGTTTTCAATTAAAAAGATTTTAATATGACAGGAACAGTGGAAATATTCCATTCCCGATACTTTAAGTGCAGCCTAATATAATAATATAATATCGTCGTGTTGCGATAGAGTCGTGCGCGGGCGTGCAGTGTCCGTCTGGCACGTGGTGCGGGCGCGGGGCGTGCTCGTGCGCGGCGCCGTGCGCGGGGGCGGCGCGCGAGCCGGTGTGCTCGAGCGCGGGACGCACCTACCCGCACGAGTGTGCGCTCCTCAAGGCCGCCTGCGAAGCGAGAATGAGAGCCGAGCCCCAGCTCCGGGTCGCGTACTACGGCGAGTGCACGGATTCAGTCGACAATACTACGGCTGGTAAGTTTATTTATTATTTTTTATTACTTAGATGGGTAGACGAGCTCACAGCCCACCTGGTGTTAAGTGGTTAATGGAGCCCATATACATCTTTGACGTAAATGCGCCACCCACCTTGAGATATAAGTTCTAAGGTCTCAGTATAGCTACAACGGCTGCCCCACCCGTCAAAACCGAAACGCATTACTGCATCACGGCAGAAATGCGGCGGCGAGGTGGTACCTACCCGCGCGGCCTTACAAGAGGTCCTACCACCAGTAAAGGTACTAGAGCATCACAACACGAGACGTGAGATCGAAAACTTAATTGGCCCGCTCTTCAAACTAGAATTTCTGACTACGTCACAACAGATACAGTCACGGCGGTGATACCTACCGTACTGCTTCTTTTATATTCGTAAATAGTATGGTATTATTTCGCAACAATTATTTTAGCGATTTTATATGAAAAAAAAAACGTTCGTTTTTTTTATTACTGAAATCTTGAGTTTAGGAAATACTGTATTAAAATAATATGTTTTAGGTTTAAATAAAACAGGGGCATTATCAGAGTTAACGAATGAGATCAGATCAGAAGATACGACGGAAAATGCTAACGAAGGAGGGAGTAACGCTGTATGTGCTCGAGTACAGTGTGCCTATGAAGCTACTTGCGCCGTCGACTCCAACGGCCAACCTAGGTATTCCTTAGATATTATGGTGTAAATACATATATTGGGTAGGTACTCTAACCAATAGTCAACGCCCACTGAGTTTCTCGCCGGATTTTCTCAGTGGGTCGGGTTTCCGATCCGGTTGTAGATTCTGCGAAGCACTGCTTTTGCTAGGGCCAGTGTTAGCAACACTACCGGCTTGAGCCCTGTGAGCTCACCTACATCTTAGGGTGAAGCTGAAATAGCCTCTCAAGGTTATCAGCATAGGTAGAAAAAAAAGTCAACAAATATCAGTTGTCGTTTAGTTCCGAAATTAAAATACCTCTGCCGAAATTTTTCCATATCCATCCAAATCCATATCCATCCAAATTATGACACAAATAAAAACATGACGTCATGAAAAAAAAATTTCGAATGTCTGTGGATCGTTATATGTTAAATAAGAAATTAATTGCGTCACATATTAAAACTTATCTGAGTTGAATATAAAACTATAATCTAATTGAAATTTGTATGTGACTACAATAAATTTACATACAATTGAAAAAACGGCCGCGTTTTACTGATTATTGCTAATTACATATAAGACAATTTTAAGTGGATTTTCCCAAAACTCAGTAGTCATAAAAACTAGCAACTTATAAACACAGCGAAAAAGAAATCAGCCAAACCGCTCGAGTTAATTCTAAATGATACTTCATCAAACATGTGGCAATTGATTTTCATATTTAAGCCTTTGTATTACATTGCTGCTTGTGCAAAAAACGAAGGTAAAGCAACGCGTGTCACCTTGATTTTTAATTGCAGTACATTGCATGCTGTCAAAAAATTATATTGATAGAATTCAATTTATCGTGACTAGAATCGCCAGCATCTATTCTCCTATTTGGAAACCATTAGGTACACATGTTTAATTTCTATGTTCGGTGATTTAGATGTGCCTGTCTCTTCGATTGCGCGGCGGCTGCGGCGGCTTCCACGTCGAGTCCGGTGTGCGCTTCCGATCTCAGATTGTATCCCACTTTGTGTCACATGAAGCTTGAGGCGTGTCGGCGACAAGAAGACTTGAGATTACGCCCCCTGGCACTTTGTCGAGGGCTAGAAGTATGTTTAAAAATGTTCAATCATTTGTTAATGATATTCATGTAAATCAGGGGTTCCCAAACTTATTTTGTCTACTGCCCACTTTGAGAATAAATTATTTTTTAGCGCCCCCTTTTTTTAACCTACTTAAAAACCACTATAGCTCATTCGGCGTCTAAGAGTCCTAGATGAAATCACAAATCGCCTCCCAAGCCTCTACACGACGCCCCTATTTTTTTTTCTGGGTGTCTTACCGCCCTCCTTTAGGCCTGCAGCGCCCACAAAGAGGCGTTATCGCCCACTTCGGGAAAGGCTGATGTAAATAAAACTATATACATATATCTTGCTAAGGTTGCCAACCGGTTAAAATTAGTACTGTGTTTCCTCGCTCATTAAGGCTGTGTTGTTTTCATCATAAATAGAACATGTTGAATAACAATTGTTGTGTTAACAGTTTCTTTGGCCGTATTGCAGTTTGTATCTTAAAAATGTGTTGTTTTTTTATTGCTTAGATGGGTGGACGAGCTAACAGCCCACCTGGTGTGAAGTGGTTACTGGAGCCCATAGACATCTACGACGTAAATGCGCCACTCACTTTGAAATATAAGTTCTAAGGTCTCAAGTATAGTTACAACGGGTGCCCCACCCTTCAAACCGAAACGCATTACTGCTTCACGGCAGAAATAGGCAGGGTACCTACCCGCGCGGACTCACAACTGTTCCTACCACCAGTAATTACGCAAATTATAATTTTGCGGGTTTGATTTTTATTACACGATGTTATTCCTTTACCGTGGAAGTCAATCGTGAACATTTTGTTGAGTAGGTACGTATTTAACTAGAAAAATTGGTACCCGCCTGAGATTCGAACACCGGTGCATCGCGAAATATGAATGCACCGGACGTCTTATCCTTTAGGCAACATGACTTCACGTTGTTTATTTGTTCTTTTCAGTTTAGACCGTGCGGGGATGACGAACCACTCACTGACAAAGAAGGTCGTCCTTACGACTGCGGTGGCGGTCCACACCGTAAAGATTGTCCGATGGGCAGCTATTGTCACCACACTGCCAAAGCCGCTAGGTGCTGTAGGAAAGGTAAGTATTATTCAAAAAAAAAAAAAAACTATTATTAGGTTTTACCTGCCGCTTGTACTCTGAAACATTTCACAGTACCTGGAAGAAAATGTAATGTTTTTTTTTATAGCAAATACTTTAACAAATATTATTCAGTATTAGTTAACTTAACAGGTTGTGTTTGATTTTTAAAATTAGGACACTACATTTGTAATGATTTTTGACAACTTACTTTTCATATGCATGGGCAGTTGATATCTCTCTCCACCTGGGAATAAACATCAGCGTTGGTCTATCATCTACTAGTATGTGACTGTCGGTCTTTCTATTTGGGATATTAGATCGATATTTTTTAATAATAATTATGTTAATTGTCTTATAATTTAAAGCCACAAAAAGGGGACAGAGTATTATAAATTACTAGTGGTCCCGCAGTAGTCGAAATTCGACTATATTTATATTTAATCTATTCTCAATTTGACCACATACTATAAGCAATAAGAAAAGTTTGACAATAAACAAACAGTATGCATGCGTGGGTGTGTGTCAAATACATGGTAGTGTGTGTAATGTTTTTTTTATGGAATTATTGTATTTTTTAAGCATAATTTAAAATAAAAAAATATGAGCATTCTGCCCTTCTTCTCTATATTCTCTATAAATATGGGTAATTTCATACTGCTCCGTCCGCGCAATTTTCGTAAAAATGGGTAAAAAGTTTTTGCTTTACTTATTAAATATTTAATTATTTAATTTATTTTATATTGATTTGATAGACAAAGGGGTGACCGAGAAGAAAGGTTGCCAGGACACGTGGCACGGGTGCTGCGCTGATGGTGTCACTGCCGCAAGGGGTCCCGGCGGGGCTGGCTGTCCTTCGCAATGTGGGTGTCACAGACTTGGGTCAGTTAGGGAGCAGTGCGACGAGAGCGGTCAGTGCTCGTGCCGGGCGGGCGTGGGCGGACTCAAGTGCGACCGCTGCGAACCCGGGTACTGGGGTCTGCCCAGAATCGGAACGGGACATGCCGGTTGTATACGTGAGTTTATTGATTATTTAAAAAAAAATGTTATATAAAAACTAAACAATAAAATAAAATTTATAAAAAAAAAACAATATCTAATACACTTTCCACTCAATAACTGGTGGTAGGCCCTCTTGTGAGTCAAGTTTTTCTTGTGTGAGGCAGTAATGCGTTTCGGTTTGAAGGGTGTGGCAGCCGTTGTAACTATACCGAGACCTTAGAACTTATATTTCAAGTTGGGTGGCGCATTTACCTTGTAAATGTCTATGGACTCCAGTAACCACTTAACGCCAGGTGGGCTGTGAGGTCGTCCACCCATCTAAGCAATAAAAAAATAAATAAAAAATATATACTTTAATACGTACTAGTAGTTGGTCGGTAGTCGAAATTCGACTATAATTAATTTAAATTATAAGTTTGAACATTATTAAGGGTAAAGACCTTAAAACAATAAACAAAAGAATATGCGTATGTGTTTCAAATACATTATATATATAGGGAGTGTATATAATGTTTTTTTTATTGATTTAATGTATTTTTTCTGTATAATTTAAAAAAAATAGCATTCTGCACTCCTTCTCTATATTTTCTATAAGTGTGGGAAATTTCACACTGCTCCGTCCACGCAATTTTCGTAACAAGGGGTACATGTTTTTTCTTCACGTATTAATATATAGATATTTGGCTACAGCCTGTGGGTGCTCTGCATTCGGATCGGTTCGTGAAGATTGTGAGCAGATGACGGGACGGTGTGTCTGTAAACCTGGCATACAGGGTCAGAAGTGTACCGTGTGCTCCAACCACGAACACACTCTAGGACCGAACGGTTGCTTCGATCGTGAGTTTGATCTTTATAGCCTTTATATTTGGGAGAAAGATCTTCACTAATAGATTAACAACGTTTTATCTTTCACAGCGGAATCAACCCAATTACCTGCTACGAATTGCGAGCACATGACATGCTATTTTGGTGCACATTGTTTGATGCGAAGTGGTCTTGCGATTTGCGATTGTAGTGCAGCAGAGTGTCCGGCTACCGAAGAGCCCCCAGTGTGCGGCAGCGACGGTCGCACGTACCTCTCCGCTTGCCATCTCCGGACGCATGCTTGTAGAACACAATCCGATGTGGTTGTGCAAGCGTTCGGACCTTGCAGCGACGAATCACCTCACGTGAGGCGAGGTAGCCGCTCCGGTAGATCGACGCTCATAAAAGTATTTCCCTCACAGCCTGAGGATAGGCTAGAGTATGAGCACGTAAAGCGCACCTCCCAGCAGCTCACAGACGCTTCCGTAGACACGAGTGATAGCGGCAAACCTGACAGCCCCGAACCAGAATTGACGTGTGTCGACATACTTCCCCCAGTCGGATACCGCTAGTAGTGCTATATATGTGTGTGAAGTAGATCGTTTTTGAAAATTTACTCTTAACTTTAAGGAATTTCATTCGCAGACAATATCTACACTGTTTCATTTAATTCGAAAAACACTTCATATAGTCGCTGCGTTAAATCATCGAGGGCTCCGTTTGTGGATTTCGAATCGGAAACGAACGAGATCGAAGATGACACTTATGATGAGGAATACGTTGATAGGAGGGTTGAAGAGTCTTTTGAATTGCCTCTTTTTGATGGTAACGCCAGAATGACGGCTCGAATACGATTGCCCGCAAATCACTTCGATATATGGGCAGAGGTGACCGCTGTTTGCGACACGGGAGCCTTATTGAGTGCTTCCGGAACAAGGGACCATTTGTGGCTGGGTTATATCCGAAAGAAAGGAGTTTTGCGTTTTGACGTTGGCAGCGGACATTTGGATTTACATGCTGGACGATTAAAATTAGACGGAAGATCTACTATATCGGCGAGAAGATATAAAAGAGACGCTGTACTGAAGGTGGGCTTAGTGTCAGCTAGCGGCACGGCTAAGGGCCGCATGAGCTCGCTAAACACTGACCCGTTCGTCTATATTGGCTACTCACCAGAAAATGTGACTAAGTGAGTATTTTGATCTTGTATATCGGGTGAATTGGTATATAAAACCTTAAAGCATTGAATGTCTTAAAAATGTACATCAGCTTTTTGAAATAAATCATACAAAAAACTAAAGTAAATAATTAAATCGGCAGGCTTACGGGATTATCGACGGTAGGATTTGTTGGATGCATTCATCGCCTACACATCAGCGGGCTTGACTTGATACCGCCCGCGCGTGGTCTAGTACTCAGTACACACGGAGTCAAACCCTGCACTCCGTATCATTTAGCAAGATTAGTTTGCCCCTAATATCATCATACCTGGCACTAGGCGGAATACTAGAAATTTCCTCGGCCAAATATTACTTAAACATATAATGAGAATATTCTAATCATTCGTATTAAAGCTATATTAGGTGTACTTTAACTTGAGGTATTTTATGTGGAACATAAGATATTATAGCAGATTAGAGCTGTAGATACATTTGCAAAAAAAATAATCAAATTAACTCTCTCTTCTGGTTTGTCTGTAGCTATTCTAGGTGTGAAAAGCCCGATTGGATAATTACATCATTTGTGGTTGCACAGTTATTTGCTGTATTTCAAACCAACTCGATTGTAGGATCTTCTTAGCGCCATCTAAGCCTGACGTAGTCTATTCAGTGGTGAGTGGTTACTATTTTCAACGGACAAGAGAAATATCAGAGACAAGACCCACTGCTGAGGCCTCAGTTTGAATCTTTTGATGAAGGAGATATCGTTGAGCTGAGACAACAGCGTATAGTTAAAACACAACAAGCACTAGTTACAAAAAATCATGGAGATTAAAATGCATTCTTTCAACATTTATATAAAATAAATTAAAAGTACAAACATGTTGAATTTATTGTGCCTATTCCATGTGAAGTGTTGCTTCCAATTGTATAGTTTGTACTAACCAATTTATTTGCAGCGCTTTAAAATAACTTGCCCTTTTCCGTTTTCTTTGGTATAAATGTCATCTTGGTCTGATTTGGTCATTACACTCATTTGTTACACTGATGTAATACGTTTTTGACCTCTTGCGGCAGTGGTCAGATATTCGCGCTTGCTCTAAGAACAGTCAATTCGACACTTCTTTATTATTGCTCAGGTAAAAAGAGAATAATTACTTAATGCTTTGGTTATATTGAATAAGTTCGAAACTATTTTATTTTACGAATAATTAAAAAAAATGATGAGATTAAGTGTTAATAAAATACAATTAAAAATATGATCTCATTATTTGAATACTAAAAAGTATTCTCGTAGAATAATTAGAATTTCGAGATTTAATTGCAACTTAAAAAATCTTCCTAACAATCCTTGTGTGACATAAATTTGTTAAGTAATATGATAGGATATAATGCCAAAGGAATAATAATTGTAATTAAAATCTATACATTGTTTCTCTTATTATAATAAGACTACGAATGGCGAATAAGCTCACTTCTGACACAAGGTAAAATAGGAAAATAATAAGCATTTGATAGTTACATAATTTTATTCTTCAAAGTAGAATTCGTTCGTGAAGGTATTGGCTATTTAGTTTATTAGAAAAATTAATACCTCCTGTTGAATTTGATCCCCGGCATAAAAAAATCACTCGATTTGGAAACTTCAAAACTGTTAATCAATTTCATGTGTCAGAATTGGGATTAGTGCCTTGTTGAAACATAAAAACTGTTAACTAAAAGTATACTTAATATGTGATAATAAACTGAACTACTGTTTCAAATATTCTATCGTAATGTTAACATATCTATGCGTTTTGTATCTTGGAAATATCTTCTTATATTAAATCTGTTACTGAAAACTTATAATTTTATTTATTGTTTTTCATGTAAAACATACATTCTCGATACTTTAGCATAATTTTTATAAAAGACTGTCTACTTTAATATTGAAGGACAAATGCTTTTAGTAAATGTTATATTTACTGGTGCACTTACCAGCGTCTTGCCTATTTCTGCCTCCAAGCACTCGTATGTTCCTATTTGTTAGTTGGTATAATTGTAGTCACCTTTCCCTTGTTATTATTCACATAGGATAGCAGATGGAGCTCGTGATCTACGGTTCCCAAAGCTACCCACGTAGACTAATAGAGGTCGAATTCATGATTAGAACGTTTGAATCATCATCATCATTGATTGACTTCCACGGTGAAGGTATAACATCGTGTAATAAAAATCAAACCCACAAAATTATAATTTGCGTAATTACTGTTGGTGGGACCTCTTGTGAGTCCGCACGGGTAGGTAACACCGCCATGCCTATTTCCGCCGTGAAGCAGTAATGCATTGTGGTTTGAAGGATAGGGCAGCCTTTGTAACTATACTGAGATCTTAGAACTCATATTTCAAGGTGGGTGGCAGTATTTACGTTGTAGATGTCTATGGGCTCCAGTAACCATTTAACACTAGGTGGGCTGTGAGCTCGTCCACCCAGCTAAACAAAATAATAATAATAATAATAACGAAGTATTAAGTAGCGCTATGTCAAGAAGGACATGATCCATATCATAAGAGCCTATATAGTCTTTCTATTATACACTAGCGACCCGCCCTCGCTTCGCTTCGGAAACATAAAATTTTATTATTTATGATAGCTGAGTCCCGCGATGTTTCCCGCGGTTGTTGTCGTACCGCGGGTGCACCCGTGGGGCGAAGTTAGTCTAATATAAGTAAAGCCTAAGTTACTCCTTATATCATCAGCTACCTATCAGTGAAAGTCCCGTCAAAATCGGTCCAGCCGTTCCAGAGATTAGCCGGAACAAACAGACAGACAGACAGGAAGGCAGACAGACAGACAAAATTTGTAAAAAATATTAGATTTGGTATATGTACCGTATATATATTCATATGCATGTAGTAAAAAGAGGCTATTTCAATATTACAAACAGACACTACAATTTTATTTATATGTATAGATTAATCGTAGAACTAGCCTTCGTAGGCTAAATAGTGTATTTGATTGCCGTCGCTTAGGGACCATTTTAATACTAGGTGTACCGTGGTGGGAAGTTCATGTCGATGGTACGTGACTCGGTCACCGTCCTCGTCGAACACGTCGCTTGCGACGAAGGGCTCGACGAGCGAATTAACACATAGACACAGCCCACTGACTTTCTCGCCGAATCTTTTCAGTGGGTCGCGTTTCCGATCCGGTGGTAGATTCTGCGAAGCCCTGCTCTTGCTACGGCCAGTGTTAGTAACTCTCCCGGTTTGAGCCCTGTCAGCTCACCTACACTTTAAAGTAAAGCTGAAATGGCCTCTCAAGGTTTTTTTTTTTATTGCCTTTGTAGGCAGACGAGCATACGGCCCACCTGATGGTGAGTGGTTACCGTCGCCCATGGACTTCAGCAATGCCAAGGGTAGAGCCAAGCCGCTGCCTACCGCTTAATACTCTCCACAAGCCTCGTTTGAAGAAGGACATGTCATAGCGCTCGGGAAACACCGTGGAGGGGAGCTCATTCCATAGCCGGATGGTACGTGGCAAAAAAGATCTCTGGAAACGCACTGTGGATAAACGTAGTGGCTCCAGGTAGTATGGATGAACTCTACTCCGGTGGCGGGCAGTGCGATGGTAAAAACGAGATGTCGGTATCATCTCGAAAAATCGCTATCGGCATAGTTAGGAAAAAGAAACAAAAAAAAGGTACGTGAACGTATCGATTGTACGTAGTAGCCATGAAGTCTCTGTTGTGTCGTGTAGTGTGATAATAAAACGCAGATGATTGGGTAAACTCAATCATTTGCATACAGTGAAATCGGAAACCTTTTCTGGCAGACGTCAGTCTTTTGATGATTAAAACTTTACGGCTTAATTTCACCAGTTACCACAATATTCATATTTCAACGAATAACACCTCAGTCTTCCGTGACCACGAAAACTGTCAAGCATGTGACGCATCCGAATTGCTCTACTGACAGTAAAAAAAACACTGGAACTTTAAAAGTAGTTTTAAATATTTTCCCGACCCGTGAAAACCGAAGATAATATTCATATCTTTAGTCATGGGGTATATGATTATACTAAAAGCAGGAACGTCAGTTACATATTACTTAATTTCACCGAAAACATTGTACCTACTTTCGAGCCTATTTCATTAGTACGAGCCGTGTTTGATCATTTATTTGGAAACGTCCTTATGCTTTCGCTTTAATAAACAATTACATTATTATCTAACAGGTTTTTTGAATTTTCATTGTGATCCATTATTTCTTATCAGAATTTCACCCCACTTTCCCTTTATAATCCCGCTTATCTCTGTCTGCTTCATAAAAGCGGGGCTCTTTAAAATTTAAAGCCATTATTCTGTTTGACGAACAAACGAAGGAACGTCGTAAAAAGTTTTATAAGCTCTTTCTTATCGACGATGGACTTGTAAATAGTAACTTTGTCCATTAATAAACAATTGAAAAGTAAAATCTTCAAAATCACCTTTATTTCTTTATGGAATTCGGTATTTTGCTAATGAAATTACCATACTTTCTATTTGTACCACTCTATGATAGATTGGAAGAGAATGTCCAGGGTATTATGTTTGTTTATATATTTTACACCATTTGTGTATAAAATTTCATTAGAAAATCAATAAAAAATCCTATTACACAACTGTTTTTGATTTTATGAAAAAAAACAACCAGAAAATCATCAAAAGAAATGAATCGTTTTATCTATGTAGATCGTTTTGCTACGTAAATTTTACTATGAAGGGTGTAAAGTATGCCGCACGCTGTACTCTTTACTTAATCTAACCCGAAGCGACTCTGCCTCATAAAACTTGGAAGTTCAGTGATAAAATTCGAAGGCGCGACTCGCGAACATAGGACATCCTTTCATTAAGATTGAGGCGAACCATATGAGCGCTCACTTAGACAGTAGACATTAATATTGTCATAACATGCGTTTACTTAACCGCCCGAGCTAAGTAATAGAGCTAAAAGCATCTATTCATCACTTTCTACCCAGCTCTAGAATACTCCTCGTACTGTCTCATCTACTCTACTCTGGGAAATGAGGAAATAAAGGGGGAAGTTTGAATTTATGAATCTATACTAACTAGTGGTCCCGCAGTAGTCGAAATTCGACTATAATTAATTGGAATTGTATAATAAGTTTATACACTATTATGATTCTATTTTATACTTCTATAATCACAAATTTCGCCAAGACTATACTTTAAAAAATATTAACAAAGACAAACAATATTTAATCCATTCTCAATTTAACGCCAAGAACAAAAGTTTGACAATAAATAGTATGCATGCGTGTGTGCGTCAAATACATGGTATGTAGTGTGTGTAATGTTTTCTTTATTGATTTAATGTATCTTTTATGCATTATTGAAAAAAAAAATTAGCATTGTGCACCTCTTCTCTATATTCTCTATAAGTGTGGAAAATTTCATACTCCTCCGTCCGCGCAATTTTCGTAAAAAGGGATACAAAGTTTTTGCTTCACGTATTAATATATAGATATAGAAGTATAAATCTACAGTGGTTTTTACGGATGTTCCGTTATAACTACTGAACCGTGCATCCGATTGACTTGAAACTTGGTATCCATGTAGAAAATACATGTACTTAATGGATAGGCTAATATTTATATGAGTGTTGGACTCCTTACACCATTAAGCAGAAACTGTTGGCCCTTCAGCTGAGTTAAGCAGAACCACGGTGAAAAGGGTGTGAAATGAAGACTTAGGGCTTCGGGCATATCGAAGAAAAACAGGACACCGTTTGAATGCTCGCCTAATTGACCTGAGACTGAAGAGATGCCGCGCTTTGTTGAAGCGGTACTGTTTTTTTTTTTTTTTTTTTTTTTTTTTTTTTTTTTTTTTTTTTTTTG